TGTCCTACAGTCCAAGGATGTCAGTCAACTGGCAGCAGAGATCGAGCGTTGCAAGACAGATCAGGAGCATTGGGTGGCTGCCGCCGAAGCATCACGACGCGCTCAGCTTGCTGTGGAGGAGGCGAAGAATCTGGCTGTGGCTGCTCAGATCGCGAGGGATAATGGTATGCGAAGAGTCACGACCTTGGGTGCTGGTGTCCTTAAATGAGACGACGACGTGATTCTGGCAAGTTCAAGATGCGAGCCAGAAGCTGTCTTTCGACCCAAATATCCTCCGTCATTAGAATCACAGAAATCCTTTCATCTGTAAACTAATCCACAGTCTCTGACTACAATGCACGCGAACACTCATCTCGGTGCATTCAAGCTCGAACCGGTGCGGAGACGTGGTGCATGACATGCCTTGGAGCGCGCGTGTGCACTCTCGATTCAAGCACGTCCAGGCTGAACCACCGCGCAATCTGCCATCTAGTGGGCGACATTCGCAGATAGACGCTCCTGGGCGTCGAGTCGTTGCCCCCCAGCAGCACCGACCACACGATGCTTCAGCTTCATTCCCGGAACTCATGGAGGATCGGGAAGTCCAGCTTGACTGTTGCTACGCTGCGAGACCGCAGACAAGCACAAGATTTCAGGGATACTGATCTCGAAGCCTCGTGTCCCGATCACACGCTCATCCATTCAAATCGAGCACTGTGCGTCGCGGATCGCGCACAAGTGAGGCAGTCGATCGATCGCGATCTGATGACTTTGAACGTCGATGACGCAGTCCGACACACCCAGTAACATTCACGTCATTCAAATTCAAATTCACATTCACATTCACATTGTGATTCCAGATTGCTCCATCGCTCGACTGGCCGGACGACGATCCAAGCACGAGTACTGAGACGAAGTGTGTCAATGTGTACATGACGAGAATAGAAGCTCGACCTCATGTTTCGCTGCGCCTTTTGCCTTACTTAGCGTCCTTTCGAGGACGAGCTCCGACGCGCTCAATGGTTTGTGCCATGCCATGCGCAGCTCACTGGCATGCCTGCCTCACCCTGATGCGGGCATTGTCGCCCTTGACAGACCTGCAATGCATCCGTCAGCAGTCACAGTCACGAGTCAGTGTTGTGTCAAGTTTGAGTGCGAGCAGTCCGGGCGATGTGGACAAGATGACATGACCGCACAGCACAGCACAGCCGCTTTGCGTTGGAGACGCTTGCGAGAAGTCGACGTGGTGATGCTATAGCTGGCCTGTTTCTGTTTCTGTTTCTGTTTCTGTTTCTGTTTCTGTTTCTGTTTCTGTTTCTGTTTCTGTTGCTGCACGCAACGTACGCGTACGCGTACGCTCAGTGGGTGAACATGCAGCCAGGCGTTGCCGAACGCCCACATGCAGCTAGCTGGGGTCACGCGGATGGAGACATTGGCGCGGGAGCTCTACATAGCGGGACTGCGCCGTACGCGAGAGCGCCTTTGCGTTGCATGGCATGCACCTGCATGGCAAGCCCTCGCTGGATCTGCATGCATGGCTCCCCTCTCGATTCCTTTCGTGATGGCATCTCATTCAGCCTAGCACGATGAAGGTTCGGAGTTTGTGTGGCACAGCGTCAGGGCAGGTTTGAAGCTCGTCTTGCGATTCTGCCCCTGCGCCCGCCATGTATCCAGCACAGCGCGTAAAGCTCACTTCGATGCTCAAGTTCACCACCTGCTAGCGTACGCCTACGTGCATGCATGGCGAGCATGACTGCACGATGCGCACTTCTGGAGTCCAAGGCGAGAAGGAAGGGAGCGGGAAACGTATATAAGTACGCCATCCATTCGGGCATGCCCCCCGTCCTTGTGAGCCTTAGACAACGTCTCACCCCTTCCTCCCACTCTGCTGTTCCATCTCTCTGCGGCTGGTCCGTACGTACTCCCTTGCATTTCTTCTACCCACATTTTCCCAACGCAGCAACAGGTTTGCTTTTTTCCCCTTCCCACTCACCTTCTCCTCAACAATGAAGCACCAATACGCAGTCTTTGTCGCCGTGGTAGCTGCTGCCATCGGCTTTGCTAATGCAGTCCCCATCAAGTGAGTGCTCAGTGCCATGTGTTCTAGACGCGTCGACGTGCAAGCTCACAACGAACCTCCATGGCGCTATTCCTGCCAGCATGGCCAACGGAGTGCAGATTGGCGAGCGCGACAGCTCACAGGCGATGAGCGATCTGGCGGCTCGCGGCTTCGACTTTGAAAGCTTCTTCAATGGCAACAATCAGAAGGTGGAAATCTCTGGCTCGAGCACCAAGTATGGCCACAACTCGCACTCGTCGACCTCGACTTCCACGTCGTCCACTTCAACTTCTACCTCAGCCACATCCACATCGACCAGCTCATCTGCCAAGTCCACCTCGACCAAAGCGGCTGACAAGAAGAAGGCTGACGAGGATGAGAAGAAGAAGAAGGACGAGGCAAAGAAGAATGTCGACAAGATGGACAGCGTAGACAAGGAAGCTTACTGGAGAAAGTTCATCCACACGCTCCTCTCCGACGAGCCCATCGACAAGAAGGGCAAGGCACTTGAAGACATCATTGACGATATCAAGAAGGGCACCAAGCTGCCAGACACTGATGAGGACAAGAAGCACGCCAAGGACAGCGAGTCGAAGAAGAAGGACGACAAGAAGAAGAAAGACGAGGACAAGAAGAAGGAGGAGGACGACAAGAAGAAGAAGAAGGAGGACGACAAGAAGGATACGGACAAGCGATCTCTCCACTCCGAGGCTCGTTCTCCCGTCAAATGGTCCCATCCTCTCGCGCGAGAAATCGCTGAGGACTCTGGTCTCCGCGCTCGAGCCGAACAGATCTTCAGCGTCGCAGCTCGTGACGAAACCGAGGACGCTTCCAAGAAAGCCGCCGCCGCAGTCATCAACGCGGTTGCCGCTGCATTTGGCCCTGATGCTACGAAGCCGAAGCGCGACGTCTCTGATCCGATGATCGAGCCGCTTGGACACCGTTTCGACCGCCGCGCAGCCGGTGAAGGCGCTCCTCCATCCGCGAGATCCCTCAACGCTCGTCGTGCGCCTGCATACAAGCCAGTCACCATGTTCTCTCGTGACGACAGCGATGACGACGACAAGTCGAACGTTACCTGGGTCCGACCAAACAAGTGGGGTATCAAGCCCCTCTTTGGCGACAACCACACCTCCTTGTCAGATCGTCTGAAAGCTGCAAAGGACAACTTCTTCAACGCAATCAAGGGAGATGACAAGAAGAACGGGGCTGCTGCTGCTCATGCACCCGCTGTCCTCATCACTGCATCCTTCGCTGCTGCATCTGCCGCGGGAGTGTTCCTGCTCGCGTAGGTGCAAAGCTCGTCGTTTGCCTTTGTACTCATCTAGCCAATGACATGCGCGTTTCCATACTTGCGAAGTTTTCTACACGATGTTCGGGGTGTCTGTTGCTAGGCCCAGCAATGGTGAATTGTTGTGCGAGTGTAGGGCAATGTTTGTCCTGCACGGATGCTCGGGCCGAGCAAATTAGTGTGCGAGTCACGTGAGTGTAGGAGCATCAAGAGATTCTTGATTCAAGATTGCTTGCCCTTCCTTCGGCCGAGCCAGCGCGTTTGCAGGTCCGGAACACTCAAGATTCTTGACTGACAAGAGCTCACGTGACCTTGACAGTTTTGGGCCGGCTTTCACGCAGCGAGGTCAGGTAGGCTGACAAGGCTTGAACGCAACATGACGTCTGCTGAAAGAGCTGCGAGCCGCGCACCACAGGATGTTGGGGAAAGCCATGCAGGAAGGCATACGAGCTGTGTGTTGGTCGGTGGGTAGAGTGGTCGCGTGCGTGCGTGCATGCGTCCATATCGCTGCGCATGTGCGGACATGCACATCATCGACGATCGAGCTGCTGTAGCGTCGCACGAAGCCGTGAGCGTGATGAGTGATGCAGAGGCAGCAAGCATCAAATCAGCAGGCCCGGCACGTTGTCGACCGGAGCAAAAAGCGAGGAGAGACCGCCTATGCTCGCGCGATCGACGCTTGCCGCGACCCGCATTCGCGATTGGTGGGGCTGGGCTGGGCTCAGAAGAGCTATAGCCTAGGTTGTTTGCCCGACCGCGTAGGGCGTATAGGTGCAAGCCAGCCTTTTGAGCAGTCGCGAGTCGCGAGTCGCGAGTCGCTCGCTGCTAGGATGTGTCACGCAAAGGCGCTTGCTTGGCCTCTTGCCTGAATACAGGCAGTGTAGCTGCTTGGTGAGCTGCTTGCTATCTCTTCCATCAGCAGCAGCCTGCTTTCAACAGGGAAAGCGGTGCGTGAGTGGAGAGCGCTGCTTGCGTGCATGCATGCATGCATGCATGGGCTCGCTGCACAGCTACACAAGTGTTCAGAGTGAAAGCGAGATCGAGGCGCGCGTTTGCACAACAGCGAGTCAAACATGCTGCAGTCACTCAAATGTGCACTCACGACTCCACGCGTGAGAGCAGAGCGAGCGTATCTTCCGATCTTTGGGCGAAAGATGACTCTCGCGCAGGCCGCGCCGCCAAGCGCGACACCGCAATGCACGGCGGGCGCGTCGACTCTCAGCAGGACTCGACACTCGCCTCGATCCGGCTTTTGATGCGCGCTCTGATTGCCGAAGGCTTCGCTACCTCGATCGCTCGTTGCTGCTGCTGCTGCTGCTGCTGCTGCTGCTGCTGCTG